TATTTTTTGTTTTCTTTATAAATCTCTTATAATAAAAATATTTATTTTTTTTAAATTTTAATATCAATTTAAAAATATTCATTATGTATATTATCATTATACAAAAATTAATATAAAATTTATTTATAGACTATCGTATTATTTATAAAAAATAATTTAAATTATATTATACTATTTTATATTGTTAGTTATATTTATATAAATCTATTATTGAGAATTAAACAAACATTTTGTATATATTTATACATATTCATTATACATAAATTGTATAATTTATAGAAATAGATCGATACAAACGGTTTCTTTAATTTAAAAGAAAGCTGGATTTTTACCTGAACAGAAATATCTCCATTGTTATTATTGTCATTTATGTAGTTATAATACACTTAAATAATAAAATCGTCAGATATTGTTAGAATTGAGAGAAAAGTTCTCTAGAAAAGTTCAGGTAGTTCAGGCTATTAAAGTGACCGTTTTCTTTGTTTGTAGAAAATTTTAATATCCGTCAATTGGTTTTATAATTTAAATAGTACTATTTTGAAGAATAGTAATAAATATTATAAATTTTAAAGGATTCTTAGATAAAAACTCTTAGATAAAACTTAATAGTATAATTTTAAATATTATTAAACTTCTATACTAAAATAGTTTTTATTGATGATAAATTTATTTGAAAATTAAGTCAGTTGATTAATTCCTCAATAGTTTATTCATTGATTTGACAGTATATAATTTAAAAAAAACGTGTATGGAATCAGATAAGTTGAAATTTGTGTGCATGACATTCGATTTAAAACATAATAATGTCCGATATAAAAAATGTTTTATCTCTATTATGTCAGCATTTAAATTTGTCAATTAATGTTATGATGAAACCTGAGTATTTTAGACAAGCAAAATTCAATGGCATGGATGAAAATATCGTGAGTGTTACGTACAATATCGCATAACCTTTATATAATATAAATTTATATATTTTAAAATATTTATAAAATAACTATTTTTAATTTACAATTTTTTTGTATTAGGACAAAATATTTTGGAAAATATTAAATATTTTAAGTTATTATGCTGTGAAAGAGAAACAAATTGAAACTAATTTTGAACAATATGGTAAATTTTGTTGATTTTTCAAATCTTTTTATTAAGTATTAAAAGATACTTAATAAGTTAATCTTATTTTAGATATAATATGGGCTACTAAATTATACTTTGCATATTTACAATATCCAGCAATAGAGTTTTATGCTCTAACTGAACAAAATAAAAATAGCAGAGCACTATTATTAGCATTTGCATGGCTTCTTGGAACACAAAATATTTTGAATATTATCATTCAGATAAATCTTTCTAATAGCATATTAGCAAGAGAATTTTCATACTCAAATAACTTAGAAGTAATTAATTTTAAATATAAATGAAACAAAAGTAGCAATTAAAAAATATATATAATTTATTTATCTTTTAGAAAAAAGAAACAGAATGTTATATACCAGAATCGATCATTGCACAAATTAACAATGTATTGTACTTAAATGGTAAAGTAAATTATAATATAAAAGAGATATCTGAATTGATTTCTGAGAGGACTAAATTAGTAAGTAAAATTCATGCTGCAAGCAATAAAATTTGTGGACTGCCACATCTAAGTGTATCAGAAGCAGCACTAATAAAACGTATTTCAACAATTAATAAAGATGTTCTATCTAATGAAGATAAAAAACATATAAAAGAATTATCCACTATTGCTAATTTATTAAATATACATATAAAATGGATGAAGAAAGAACATATATTTTTTGAATGGATGGTAAGTAATAGAAATATTATTAATATTAATATAATATTCAAATATCTCATTTTATAAAATATAATAAAATAGTGATAAATAAAAATTACAGATAACAGTAATACAAGAACACAATAAGTTACAAAATGTCAATTTAGAAGATATGGATTGGAATGAAGTTTCGAAGTTCATTTCCTTATTATGTTGTATAATTCAAGAAAAATTAGAAACATTATCATCTAAAGAGAAACCTATGAATTTTCTAAACTGTGAACGTAAATGCATTTCGCGTTTATTAAAAGTTCAGATAGAAGATAGTAATACAGAAATAGAAAAATGGTTAATGGAAATTTCTACCGAATTGAATGAAAAGACAGAAAATATAGCTAAAAAGAAAGAGATGCTTTTTAAGAAACTGGAAAAAATTTTACAATCAATTCCCTATTGTGTGCAAGTTTAATTTTCATAATTAAAAAAATATCCATATCTTCTTTTATGATTATTCAAGTATATTATTTAAAATATAAAATGTCATAATTGCTCATTAATTCATAACATTATTTCAGTAACAAATTTAAGTTTGTATAGATACTGTCGACACTTGATCAACAACGCCAAATGACGAGATGAAAACATTAAAAATTGTCACTAAGAATATACCAATCACTGTCCAATTATTAGTCCGATCAGCTTTACACATTTGAGCATCGTCTTTAATATTATACTTGCTATTCCATATCAATCCTATTCCTACTGCAATTTGCAATAATAAGCTGGAACCTATTAGTACCAATGAAGGATAATAATATTGATGACCCCCATCGGTTTGTAAAACATAACGCAATTGATTCGCATTGGCAGACAAAAGAGCCAAATCCATCATTCCTTGAGCAAGCGTCTTTTTGTGTTGATAGATATTCACGTCAGGTATCGGTTGAAGAGGTGATCGCGGAAAAAATGGAGTTCTTGGATTTTCTGATATTCCCGGTTCACTTGATAAAAGACCATTATCTGTACTTCGATAATCAAATATAGAAGAATTAGCTAATTTATGATTGTTGATTTCTGGACCCGTAGTCGGTCGTGGATTATTCGTAATGTCAGTTTCAATCATAGCACCAGAACGTACTCCAACAGTCATTTCCAATGATTTAGAAGCTAATGATTCTGGTATTTCATCACCAATTTCATCCATGTAAATAATTTCATCATTTTTATCGTTTTGTTGAGCCATAATTTAATTAATTCCAAATTCTTATTTTAAATAATATTACATATTTAATCATTTATATTATTATTTAACCATTATATATATTTTCAATATTTTTCAGATAACAGTAAGTATAGCGAAAGACATATTTTGAAAATAATTTCTTGCACACATTTAAGTTTCATAAAAAATTTTTTTTTTTGCTTTCTTTCTGTTCATTACTTTAATATGTAGAAAGAAAAAATTTATATTATTCACTTTTATTGAATCTTAACACCATGAATTTTAACAATACACCACGTTTTTTATATTTTATGTGTGTTTTTTTGTACTTTTTTATATTATAATTATATTTTACGATTGTAAAATAATTATGATTAACGTAATAATTATAATAACGTTTAACTGAAACCGATTTACTTAACTGAAAGGTTTTAAGAATGCAACACTGCATTTATTCAATAAGAATTAGATGATTCATGCAAACGTCATGCTTCCCTTGGATTTACCATTTATCTCAAGACTACATTTGTTGAAATTAATCATTTTAGTAGCACAATAGTAATATTTTTTTACATTATGGCAGTCCACTTTGTTATAAATAAAAATAGAAATTACTTTCTTTTTTAAAATCTTTATTTAATATTCTTTTACAAAATCTATTGTGAATTCCTTATATATTTAATATTTATTTCAAGTTTTCGTTAATATATTTATTTTTTAATTTAATAAGAAATTGTAAAAAGAAATGATTTAGGATTTACATATTATGAGCAACTGCGTTCAGAAATATTTAAAGACGCGCTCTAATATTTTATGTCAAGGTTTTCGCAGTAGAAGGGGAATGGCATTATTCCAATGATCGATACGTAACTATAAATAATATGTAAATCTGCCAAATCAATAAAAAAACAAGATTATTATCAAAATCAAAACAAATTTTTATAAATAATGATATAAATTTTATTTTTTCAGTTCTCGATAAATATTATTTAAAAAATGTACATAAAAAATTCGCAGATCTTTATCTTCACTAATTTTATTCGAATAATGTAATATTCGATGTACTTGGAAATAAACGGTAAAGTTCCAAATTTGTAATCCTGAGTAATATTGAATTCTAAGAAAATTGTATTATAAAACCGGTTCATCATATTTCCTCAACATTATTGGTGATTATGATGCGAAGTGTAATCAATCTATTACAAATACATTCATGTTCATGATATAACAATATGAAAAATTATAGATAATATCAGGAAGTTTTCCAAATGCTATTATTATATATTATAATCCAAGACATTTTATTTTGTCATTTGAAAACAATTTAAATATATGATCTTTATTCTAAGAGTACTTTATTCTAAGTAATATAGTTAGATTGTTGAGACATTCTAAATTTAAAATAGTTAAATAGTTTCATGTCTAGAGATCGTAATTAGATAATAAAGTTAAATAATTTGTTTATTGTAAAATATCTTCAATTTAAAGATTCATTTCCAAGATATTTATAATTCTGATATTATTTGGGCTAAAACTGATTCTTTATATATAACTATGTAGAATATCTTAGTTATTGAGCTATTCCGTTGTCAAGCAAACAATCATTCTCGTTAATTTTAAGATCGGATGTATTCTTAGTCGAGTTAAGTATATATAATCATAGATATAAAATTTATAAGCTTTTTCCAATATTATTATTTTTATCATCTATTAGAATTAAACTTTTCTCTAAAAAGTTAACAGCTATTCGTATTTTCTACGGACTTTAATTTATTTACAAAAAATATAAGGAAATGAAGACTGATAAATATGAAGGCTCAAAAATGTTGCACTCATTGCCCGGGAAAATTAGTTCATTCAGAAAGTAACGAATCTCACGAATGCTGTCAGCCACGATATATTTCGGGAAATTTAAGAATATCTTCTTTAAATAAACATGTGCCAGAGTGCTTCGGAAAAAAGGAAATCAAGGAAGATCTTTCAAAACGACTATCACAGAATCGACCAGTTTATGATCAATTTGCTATAGCAAAGAAGCTTCATGCAGAGAATTTAGAACACCAACCTCTTCCCGATAAAGTCGATGATTCTGTTTTCAAGAACGTAAGATTAGAAGAATATTCTGATAAAGTTTTATCGAAAAAATATTGTGACTATTGTAAACAAGAATTTAAAAATCATTGTATGAATGCAAATAAATATTATAGACCAGTTTTAGGTTGTAAAGAGCCCAAAACAAAAATGGATTTAGCTATTTGTTGGGAAACTCCAATAAATCCGATTTACGAAACACCTAAACCTACTCATATTGATGGTTCAAAAGGTGGAGTCGCGCCAGCCATATTTACTCTTGTTCAGCATAGTTCTACTTCTAAAGCTTCTGTTTATTCTGAAACAGAAAAGAACGAGAAAAGTTCTACATCCTATCAAAATCAATGCAAATTACAAGAAGATTCAAATTATTGTTACAAAAATAAAGAAGAAAACAATAAAAATGTAAAATGTTATGATTGTAATTGCAAGGATTTGAATGTGAATATATTGAAGAAGAATAAAATCGAAGAACAAGCAAAAAGAGAAATGTTTAGGAAATGTGTTGCCTGCAATAAAAAAAATATTGATCCTAGATTGATTAGATCTGCTATTGGATTAACATTGGATACTGAAAATAATCAAAAAGATGAAAGTAAATTAACGATACCAAGACCAAAGACTCTTTTTACTAAAAAATCTTTTTGTATCGATTCTTTGGTTCCTCCTTTTAGTATTGTTAATAGATATAGAGATGGTGAATTTCCGGAACATTGGAGACTTATGTCAGTTTATCAACAATCATATAAGAATCCATACAAACGGAAAATTTATCGCAGTTAGATTATACAAATTAAATTTTAAATTGTAAAATAGTAATAAAATTATAACAAATATTTTATTTCAAATCTTAATGTAACGAACTCAAATTTTAATTTTAAACAACTTTAAATTTTAATCTGAATTTGAAAATTTTATTTTTAATTTTAATTTTTCAACCATTTAATGAATATTAAATTTTTAAAGTATATTATTTTAAATTTATAATTTTTTACGTTGTATAGTACTTATATTAACATATTGCGGCATGAAAAAGATTTCTAAATTCTCTGAATCTATAAGAAGACTTTGATTCAAATTTTCAAGAGCAATATTTTGCAAACGGTTTAAGAGATCAGGATATGGTGCTATAAATCTTCGGAAATCGTGGCGATATAACACGTATATTTCACAAGTTTCCACCGCAACTATAGTTGCTATTCTATGCTCGGTATCCATTACCAAGGCAATTTCACCAAAATAACTTTCATCTTCCAAATGACAAATCTTTATATTTCATTATGAAAAAGAAAATATATTTTTTATCTTTCATAAAAAAAAAGTTGATGAAACTATGATAATGGTAACATTACATACTTCTTTTCCTGCAGAATTGTAAACAGCTACTGTTCCAGAAGAAATGAAATACAAAGCTTCGCCACGGGTGCCAGCTTTAACTATTTCATCACCAGCTATATAGATTTCGGATTGTAATGCACCTGTTAACTGTACTATTATATGTTTTGGTAGATGCTTAAATAATTCTACGTTTTTAACGAATTTCAAATAATTATGCAAAATGATTTCCTAGAAAGAAGATTTTCATTATTAAAACATACAATAATGTTTTGCTATCTATTTTTACGTAAAAAATTACTAGTTTCTTATATTTCATATAATTATATATTAAAGAAGCTAATAATTTCAAATAATTGCATTTTCTATTATAATTATAGGAAAAATTGATGAAATGAACCTCCCGCAAATAAGGTGAAACTTCCTGTATGATTTTCTGATTTCTTTCGAAACCTATTTTATTGCGATAATGATAAAATGTTAATAAACGAAGTTGTAAAGCAGATGGAAGCTCTTTGTATCGCATATATTCTAACAACTGTGCTATCAGCCTCAAATTATGTTTAATTGTTATATGAAACGTTGTTATTAATTGTGAGAATTGCGCTATAAAAAAGATTATTATTTGTATAATATACTATTATAACGATAGCATACAATAAAGAAATACTTACTTAATAAAAATATGGCACCAAAACATCCAACTATCATTAAGATCATATTTAATATAATATCTTCTGTCGTTTTCATATCTAAAAAATGGCAAGAACGAGAAAAGGCGATAAGCGAACGATGCAAGCACATTAGATATTTCTTTGCTGTTGTTTCCCTGTTTTGAAAATACGATGAATTGATCCAAGACCTAAATAGATCCAAGAATATAAATTTAGAATTCATTATTGAAGAAATAAATATGATAGAATATAAATACTAACTCATTACTTAAAGTGCCTAAAACATATACAGATAGAGGAACATAATATTCTAGACAAGCAGCCCAGTGAATACATATTATAATAACCACGCACGTATCCAAAATTTTATGTAATTGAAAATATATTCTGTATACCTAAAATTATAAAAATATTCAAAATATTTGCAATTATTTTATAATTTTGTCATAATTTTATAATCAATTAAAAAAATAACTAACGTCGCGAAGTCTTTTAGAACAAGCAAGAATATTGCGAATTCTTAATAATTTCATCATATTTAATGTAGCACAGTACCATATTGAATTAGGTACAATAAAAATGAAGATTCCTATGGGTAATATGGGCAAAAAATCTATTAGGAAATAACTTTGCAAATATTTCCTGCATAAAAATAAAAATATCGATTATTGATAATTTATAATATCGTTCTATCAAAATCACCATTTAATGATTAAAGTACCGTGCTACAATCATAGGATCAAGAACAGTAAGTTTCGTTTGATAATCATAATAACCCGTGAAGAACCACATGATAATATCACATAAAAAGACTATATTTATTATATCGTTAATCACAAAATAGGTAAAGAGTTCATCAAAATAAAATGTGATGATTATTGGAGTGATCAGAAGAGCCACAAATGTGAATATAATCATTATTGAATCCCAAACAATTCTATAAAAATTAAAATAGTTTAATTATAAAAATAATTGAAAGGATATATTTTAAAATTAACCTGAATGAACTAAAAGGATGTATCATATAAGGATGTGATTTGAGGTGTCTCGAAATTTCATAATTAACTGCAGTTGTACTTTTGACACACCAGCGAGTTAAAGGATGCTTTTTATGTAAAACACGTTGTCTCATAAACCAACGACTCAACTTATCCAAAATCCGATTTCCTTTTCTAATAGCCATTATCTCATCTTCTTCTTTCGGTTGTTCACAGATATGCTCTGTAACTGGAACATGCTATATAATATAAAATTAAATTGATTTTTCATTGAATTTAAATATTTATTTTTATAATTTTAAATATTATAATATTGATAAAACTATAATGAATAATTAAATATTATAAAATTATATGAATTTCATTAAGTAGAGTTTCAATTTACCTCGAAAATTGGCACTTCCGTAAAATGGGGGACAAAAGCCATTAAATCCATCCAGCTGGTTTGTTGTTTTGACAGATCAGCTGATCAGTAGATATAAGTTGTCGAAGAGAAATGATTTCTATATATATATATATATATATATATAATTATTTATTTATTAAAACTAATTAATGGATGTGTAAAAAAAATTATTTTTTTTAAATATTATGTTCAAAAATTATCAGAATATATATACATTTATAAAAATAAATAGAAAAATATTATTTACTTCTACATTAAGTTTTAGATAAGATAAATCAAGCAGTACATGATAGTATTGAAGTAAGAATATTAAAAATGAAATATAATTAATCAGTTTTGTGATAACTATTATGTATTATATAGCAAATCAGAACTATTATATTTATAGCGTGATTTTAATATGAGCGAAAAGCACGTGACTATCGTAAAACAACTGTAATACATTTGAGCAATGATTTGATTGTTATACGAATATTTAGTATAAAATCATAAATTAATATCCTATAAGATATACCATTTATTGGAACGAAATACTTACGATTTTTTATTAACAATTTTTATTATGGCGATCATGTCTGACGGCAAAACTCGTATGAGTAATATGTTAGATATGGATAATTTTCAATTGCCTATAGATGTAAGTCTTTATTATCTACATTTAATTTGAATCTTATTTTTATTTAAATCATTTTTTTATTTATATTTTTTTCTTTACATTATAAATATATAAATTTTCAGAAAATAAATAATTATAACCTGAAAACATTTATTTAAAAAAATAATTAACAATTATAATTTAATTTAATTTAATAAAAATTTAAATATAAGTTTTTGTGATAATAACAATATATTTTGTAGAAAATAATTTCAAATTGTTTCATATATTTATTCCTTTCAGGTAAATATAAATTATATATATTTTTATTGATTAAGTCTATTTTAATTTTAGGTAATTATACATATACTATCATATTTGTCTACATCTGATAGAATGTCAGCAGGATTAGTTAATCAAACATGGCATGAAGCATCTCTTGCCATGAAATTTTTGGATCAAGAAGAATTAGTACTTGGTCGACCACATGCAGATAATTTAAATGAAGTGATAGAACTTTTACAACATTCTACAAGACCATTTTATCACTTTGTTTTTAAAGAAATAGAATTAAAAAGGAATATGCCTATTTGGGATCAATATGGACCTCATATGAAAAGTCTAGTATTGGTAAAATTAATTTAATTATTAATATTATTATATTAAAATATATAAGAAAATTGTTTTTAATTTTATAATTATTATTAATTTTCAGTTATGTTGTGATTTAAGTGAAAAAACACTTGTAGAAATTTTTAAATGCTGTAAGTCTTTAAAAGTATTACGTATTAATGCTTGTAGAGAATGTCTAATGTCTGGTAGGCTTCTAGAAGATGAAAATGATATAAAACAACTCTCAGAAACATTTAAAAATGTTCAAGAACTTAGTCTTGATTATAATCGTTTTCTAAGTGATGCTCTTTTTAATAGACTAGTTGCTATTTGTCCAAATTTGGAATCTTTAAGCCTCATAGGCTGTCAAATATCTTTTCATTATGGATTGTATAAAAAATTTTACCCTCAAAATATCAGTTTTTCTGAGGCTTCAAAATCAATTTTAACTTTTTTAAATACATTACAATATCTTAAGCAACAAGCACATAAATTGAAACATTTAAATTTTGGTTATACTTTGATTGATGGAAATGCTTTAGCTACTTTGTCAGCTTTACAAGATCTAAAATTGGAATCTCTAATGTTACAAAGTTGTTATCAATTAACTATAGAAGGTATTAAAGGATTAACACAATATCAAACTTATTTGAAAATTCTTGATATTAGTTTCTGCGTACGTATCACAGATGCTAGTTTACTTTGTATTTGTAAAAACTTAACAAAATTGGAAACGCTCAGAATAAAACGATGTCGTGCTGTAACTGATATTGGTATAAAATATATTAAATTATTAAAAAAATTACAAGAACTCGATATTTCGGAAGATGAATTACTTACCGGTGATTGTATTACTCATGGTCTTTGTTCTGGTTATAATATAGATGACAATAATATAGAACAAAATATTGATTCTGAAAATATTAATTTTAATTCATCAGAAAAAAATGATCTTATAGAAGAAACAACAAGAAAAGAAAATATGCGAATATTATCAGCAAATGCTTTGCATCTTCATGAAGAATCAATTGAATGCATAACCAAATCTTTCCCTAATTTAAGACAACTTGAACTTAGCTATTGTTTTAACGGTGTTACTGATAAGACAATACAGGTATGTGAAAATCATTTTATTATTATTATTTTATATTAATATTATATGCGTTTCATGAAAAGGATGTTATTTGTAAAAAACGAAAAATATGATAAAATGATAGATTTTTAATAGATTTTATGCTGATTATTTTCCTGAACTTTCAGGAATTACTAAAACTTAAGAGAGTCGCTGTAAATCATAAATTTTTGTACCAGCGATGATGCTCATGCATATAAAAGTAAGTTTATCTTTTATAGATGATATTCAAGGAGCTTGTACATTTACAAACATTAAAAATAAGCCATTGTGATGAGGTCAGTGACGCTGGCTTAACGGGTATGGGTACTGGTAACCATGAGTATGTCGAAAAAATACAAGTTGTACATAAACCAGAATTTACAGAATCTAGACTTAGAATCAGTTTACGTTCAAAAGCTGAAGAAGAAATAGTACGCGACGCTGATCGAAAACGAGAAATTATGCATCTTTGTGAAAATGTATTTCAACCGTTAAATCCATTTTCTGGCTTCTCTTTAATCAGGCTCAAATGCCTTCAAGAACTCGATCTTTCTGGTTGTAATAGAATTACTGATGTCAGTTTAAAACACGCATTCGCTTTTCCAGAATTAAAAATCTTAAATTTAAGTAAATGCCAACAGGTGCGTATTAAATAATTCAAATAATGTATAAAAAAAACATAATATATAATTTATTATCATATTATTTTTTATTATAGATTACACATATTGGATTGGATTATTTATCGAAAAATAATCCAGCCATCGAATATTTAAATTTAAATCGGTGTTATAATATATCGGATATTGGTATATCATATCTTGCACAAAGATTACATAGATTGAAGCGACTTCTCATCCAGGTATTTTTATAATTAAAAATTAATTATATATTATAATTATATGTTATATTTTTAATACAAGAATGTAATGATCTTTTTTTACAGGGATGTTCACAACTCACGGATCATACTCTCGATTCTATTAAATTGTATTGCAAAAGTTTACATTATCTAGATACACGTTATTGTCGGGGAATGTCAGTGGCAGGTCTTCAGAGCTTGTCACATTTACTATATGTTGATTGGCATAAACACACAGATGTTGTATCTACGGAAAATGAAATATTACCACCACCAGCTCCGCCTTTACCATCATTACCATCTTTACCATAGAGACGGCTTCAATATTTTCTTTCGCATTTTAAGGACAGGGTAAGGGAAAATTGAAGTATTATTTTAAAAGCTGACTGTAAATTATGTGATAGATTTAATTCAATAGAAAATTTTTTATTCAATGTTTGCATAAATATTAATCGATGTTTGACATTATATGCAAGAAATTTCATATATTTTAAAATATTTGCATAGAAATTTTAAATTCTGTACATATATAATACGAAAAATTTTTGGTATGCATCATATTAAATTCATATAATATTTAACAACGATTATAAAAAAATTTGTATAGGATTTTAAAAAAAACCAATTTAAATATATTGCAAAAAGAGAATATTTAATATAATATTTTATATTAAATATTTAATATAAAATGTAAGCTAATTAAATGAGCATATTTATAGAATATTAAATGATAATACGATTTTAACTAAGTGCAATAAATCAGCCAAAATATAATTTATAACTTTTCATTAATTTTTAAATAGATAATAATTGAAAATAATATTACTTAAACTATTACTAATTAATTTAGATTTTTGTAAAAATTTTATTCTGTTTTATAATACAATGTAACATAAACAATTATTATTATTTATAGTAATTGATATATAGAAATGATAAAAATAATAATTATGTACAAAATTTTATATGTAAGTTGAGAATTCATTTATATTTTTTTATATCTATTCAGATATTGTCAAAAGAATTTTTAATTTAAAAATTTTTAAATCAAAAAATTTAAATCAGAAAGTTTAAATTAAACTTAAATTTGAATAAATAATAATTGTAATTTAAAAAATAGCAAATATTTTTAATTAAATTTTTATATATAAATTAATATTTATAGTACAAAATAATAATTATTATATTAAAATTTAACACATAATGGATAATTACTATACTATATTATACTATATCATAAAATTTAAATCGAAATATTTTTGTTAAAATACTGCCATTAAAAAAATTATAAAATAAACATAAATATAATTTAATTAATATAATATAGTTTCTATACTATTTTATTGAGTAGATATTATTATATAACAAAATAATATTTTATTCTAATATAGAAAATTATATTTTTCTCAGCAAATTAATCAAAATATTGTTATTTGAATAAGTGCAATATTTAATTAATTAATTTACAAAAGATTTTGAATTCTAAATAATGTAAAATTTGTTTAAAGTTTTTCGAATATTATACGAATGATACGCTGCTCTGAATAATTTATGTGACATGTTTATATAAGGATAAATTGTTCAATCTAGGATATATAATAAAATTATGTAAACAATGATCTAAATTTTATTTTAAAACAAATAAATTTAACATTATTTTTAAAAATTTATTTGTATTGAATAAAATAACTTCGATTAAAATTGTAGTTTTTAAAAAGTTATTCTTCTAATTAATTACTGTTGATTTTTTAAATATATATGTTTATTATGTAATAACATTAGTTGAGGCAGCAAAAAAATGTCAATTTTCATATATAGCAAAAATAAGAGCATAGTATTAAGTATTCACAGATAAATGTAGATGAATGAAAATTGCGAATTTTTTTTCTTCAATATTTTCCTTCCCATATTTAGATACGTTTTAATCTGTCTTTTAACACTATTATAACTGGTATTTTTTTTTTATAATTAGTAGCAAAACACACAATTGATAATCAATAAACGAAACATCACTCGCGATCAGTTCAATTCTACTACTTTGTATAAAATTTTTTAATATATCACAAAATTAGATACAAGCAGTGTAGTATCAACTATACTTTTGTACAGTATATATTATTTTGATTTTATTACATTCTTACTTGTAATTTGATCCTCTATGGGTAATTGAATGATTATTTGATACAAACAATTAGTAAAGTATATGCATTTAACAATAAAATTTTAAAATGAATAGTTAAAATTTGATTTAATCATTCGAAATAATTGATTTTTTAAATTAATTAAAAAATTTAAAATAACCCATAGAAGATCAATAACAATTTGTTTTGATAAATATTCTAAACAATGAGCTTTTTTTAACTTTTTATGTATTGTAAATTAATAGACACTTAATATTATATAATAAAAGTAGTTAACACATAGATAAGTAATATAAA